AAGTAGAATTGAGTCTCCTACAAGGACTGAGCTATGCAGTAGTTCAATGGCAAAAAGGCACCTCCTGCTCACACCTCATTAGATGCCTACTCCTAATAATTACACGAGAACCTGCGAGGCAATTACAGGAAGTCATTTTGCTACTCACAAGCTACTCACTTTCGGTAAACTGCAGTTTGCATAATTCACTAGAGCAAAGCCCACATTCAAACACATATAAAGAATTTGTTCCCTGGGTGAGGGCAGAAGAATAGTACTGGACAGCAGCTAAATGTAGCGACGAAATAGTTAAACACACAGGAGCTGGGGCACATGGAAAACGAGAGCCACATTTAAAGTTCTGCTGAGATCAAAGTGTGAAAATAGCTGTTTCTGCCGCATGCTTTGTGTCTCCAGGGGTTTCTACAGAAACCCTGTACAGTGCAAGATCATCTTCCTCATGCTGTCTAATATTTTCTAGAGACCATCGTTTTCCCTCCGCCAGTACAATCTTCTTGAGGAGGTGGAAGGACTACTCATAACTTGCTGGCAAAGCCCAAACTCTTTATCAGGCTGTGAGCACAGCTGAGGACATGCCGGTTTGCCCTCCAGTTCATTGCATGGCGGGACAGGACCGCATGAATCAAATCAGAACTGCCATTTTCTAGAACTCATGACAGTTACATGTAACATTGAATGAAATGAGATATACAGCTGGAAACAGTGTCATGGCACCACAGTTGCAGCACAATTTTTACATGTGATTTGGATAAAATTTGCCCTTGAGAGGTGCCAAGTGGTCAAAAGGAAGACAAAGCAGCAGTGCATTTTTCATTTGGAAACTGCTGTTTTCCACTGGGAGTAGGGGGAAGCCTACTCTAAAACTTGAGATTTTCCTAATTCACAAGAGATTCTATTTTAAATGTTTTCCGCCTCATCAATGCAATAGCACATGTATCTAGACACTGCTACAGACAACAGATAGGAGAAAGCAGGTAATTACATGATTAATTCAAGCCTCACATAGCAGGCGGCACTGAATTTAAAGTCTTTTCATAGAGAAATAGGAAAGGGACTGAAACACACATTGATAAAATCAGAGCCATCTGACTTACACTGAAGATAAACTGAAATATATTATGAACAAGGTGCATCGAGCACATTCAAAGCTGTCCACAGACCCATTAACTTTATTCTAGTGGAGGACATTATTAGTTAGTTGAATCCCTGTGGTCCCTTCGGAAACTTCCACACATTCTCAGCAGTCTACAAACTAACAAGAGCTGGGAGGGGGGAGGAGAGGGCAAAAAGACAAGACCCAGAACCCATTGTACCTGAATATCTAATTTTGCCTTTATGACGAGAATCCCACTGAAGAACGAAGTTCATCCTTCAGCAACGACTAAAGCGGCCATGAGATCTGCCATACTTCGGCATGACTGATTATACTTTCAGGGTGGTGGTTTGTTTGTTTGTTGGTTGTTTTTTTTTTTCCTGATTCTTCGAATGCCAGAATTACCCTCTTAGCAGAGATAAGTGTCAAACCAGAAGTTCAGTGTGTTATCTGTGGGAATTTAATGGGGCTTTTCCCCCCCTTACCCTGTAAGTTTTTAATTTTTTATTTTTTTTTTTTCTCCCCAGGAGTCATCATCTGGCACTTACATCAGCTTCCTCTGACAAACTACTACTGAGAGCCTTGAGTCCTGTCAGTCTGTAAACCAGCTAAGTTTTACAGCTAAGTAAGCCCTAAACCAGTGTGCTATGGCAAGTGTATTTCAGAAGAATAAAAAATTTGGATTCACGACATACCCTGTCGCAATGATGGGCCAGCAACAATAAGCAAGAGAGCAACACGCGAAATCCTCTTGTGAGACTACTAGAGATGCTTGTGCTGCAGATTCTTGTACTCACCTGGAAGAACTTGGTGAAGAGAGGGGAAATCTCAAGAAGTCTGTGTGCAGGAGAAAAAAAGAAATCTAAATACCAAAATGAATTTGTCTTGTGCTCTTACTGTACCTACAGGGATGCAAGCAGTGAGTAGAAACCCTCTACAGACTATTATTTTTTTCAAGAATTAAACAAGCAGATCAGGTGTTAACATTTACTTTTATTTATAAAAAAATTGTAGAACATATTAAATACAAACATTTGGAAAAAGCAATCAAGGCTTCGTTAAGATGCCCAGGAAGAGGAAGACAGAGAATCAAGAAGCTTACCAGGTTTAGAGTTTTTAAACTAGCTGAAGTAATTACTATAATTTTTCACTGACTTCTTTATAGGCAGTGGCCATTATAGCAACCAATGTTATTACTGTCCTCTTTAAAAAACAGAGATATGATTTGCCATATCTTCCCACTCCACCACAAAATGTAAGGAAGCAACTCTTTCCAGGTTAAAAATCAGGGTAATAAATACTAATGCATTTACCCATTACCTACATTGTATAACACTAAACATTTGTTTATAATCACACATGGATATCAAGTTTAGCCCCGAAAAATCAATTATGCATTTCAAATCTGGATATCCAATAAGGTATTATAAACTTCATACATTTTCCAGGGAACGTCAAAATGAGGACAATGCTTCAAAGTAGAGAAACAAAATAACTGAACACATCCTCTATACTATAAAGGCCAACTACTAAAGAGGTGGACTGGAGTCTAGTCATGTTCCAGATAGCTGGAAAGTCCTACAGACTGCCACTGAAAGGCTGGAAGACAGATCATGTCACGTTCTCAGTCTGTGTTAGCGCCTCTCACTTTCTAAAAGGCTGAAGGTGACACCTGTAGCTACTCTCTCTTCTGCATCTTGTAGCAATAACGGAGTAAACTATTGTTCTGCTCCCTACATGGACAAACCAGAATCAAGTTTTCTTAGACTGCTGTTGCTCTTTTACCACTCTTAAATGCACTATGCAGTACATACAGACCACTGAACAAGATGTAAAAGCAAGAGACTACAGAAGATACCTCTTCTGTCTTTTTAAAAGAGAGAAGCACTTCCACTTGCTGAGAATATGGCACTCCCTCCATCTTCCTGCTTTACCCTGTATCTGCTTTTAGGCTGCAGCATAATGCACACTGAGGTGGCTATATGGCCCTAAAGCCAAATCTTCAGTCCTTTAAAAAAAAAAAGAAAAAGAATAATCTCGGACACATGATCATCAACAGATGTCTCCCATTCTGCCTTGCATTTGTCAGAACAGAAAAAAGAACAGTCAACTTACCAGCACTCACAGGGTCACTACTGCAAGGATGAGAGTGCCCAAACTGTTACGGGATACATAGTGCTGGCAGTCAGCTACAGCATGGACTGACTGCAGACCTGCAAGAGCACAGGCAGAATGCCTCTGACAAAGCTGCCCTCTGCAGATGAGCTGAAGTTGCACCACTTATCCTATCAGGAGTAGAGGGCTGAACAAACAGACCGCCATCCTGAACATGTGTCGGACCCTGTTAGGGAGGAAAGCATTTTCCAATCACCACATCTGCCCTCAGAGCACAGAGGACTACCAGTGCGGGCACTGCTGTGCTGGAATTCCTAAAAACCCAATTTTTACAGATCAAAATCTTTGAGAAAAGCAAAACGCTTCTGTTACCAGGAAAAGACAGAGCACTTGCTGGATATCCCACATAGGCAGGGGTTCATTTAGCTAAAAGCCTGAAAATAAAGTCAATTCCAGCACCTTTCCCGCATCCAACAGCATTCCTTACTGCAACACAAACACAATTATCCTGCTCTCACTGTGTTCAGTACACTTAAAGCCCTTAGGGCAATGAGAACCCTGATGCTGGCCTGGGCCCAGATGAAATGGTCAGCCCAGTTCCACCCCATTCCCTTTTTTCCATTTTGCCAATTACTGATATGCAAGATCCATATTTCACAAGCCATAACATATATTTTTTTGAAGATACTTAACAATAGATATTTAACAGCCAGAGCTTACTTGACCTCAGAAGCCTTGCTCCCATCCAAAGAATTCACTGCCACCCAAAATGAGCAGGAAATCACTTCAGGAGGAAATTTATGAAGGGATGGGAGGCCAGAGTGCCAAAGAAATTGAAAGCGACAACAGTCTATTTCGTATGCTGACTGCTTCTCACTCAGTGCTCAGCTTTTAGCACGATATACACACCACATTTAAACAAATGATGGGTTGGTTTTTTTTGTTTCTCTTTTTAAAACATTCTGGCTGTTTGGGAGGTATTTTTTATTTTCTGGAATCTTCAAGAAAAATCAGCCTTTCATCCTCTGAGTCAAAGATAAGAAACCATGATCTTGGCATCAATGCCACCCCCCATTACCTGATCAGAAATCAATACACTGCCCAGCATCCCTGGTGACATATTTGAAGCTACACTCTTAGAATACACGTGAGTGAGGCAATGGCTCCATTCCAGAAACACATATTGTTACCAAGAGCAGAGTATGGCCCCTAGTTTTACCCTAGTTTAAAATATATTTTACAAATGCATTCCTACAAATCTGATCACCGCAAAACATATAGTGGTTTTAAAATGGCAGAAAGTTGAATTCAAACAACTCAATTTTTGAACCAGTGAGAAACATGGGCAACTTTAAAACAATAAAAAGTCTCAGATACAGACATTTGTGAAATATACATGCGCACACACTCTCGTGCACACATACCCCCACGTACTTCACTCAGTGTCAGATTAAGATTACACAAGGCAATTTTCAAGGTTGCATTTACAACCACAATGACAAGAACAGCATTTTTGAGGTAGCTGAAGTCAAAGAGCAAACCACAGCACGAAGAAACAGGTGCTCACACTCACACCGAGCCCACTCTTTGGAGACACGTTATCATGTGCGCAGGGGCGTGTGTTGAAGAGGCACGTGTTCCACGGGGAATGAAGTTCAGCAACACTGGAGACCTGATTAAACTATTCTCCAGAGAAGCTCATGTTGGGAGACCAGATGCACAATCAGGGGACCACGACTTAAATCACTGCACATCAGCTGAGCTGTGGTAACAGTCTCGGTGCTCTTGGTCTGCGGCAGTTCTACCGACAGCTCTGTCTCACGTGCACTGAAGCAAGTACAACTGTGGCAGTTGAAGATGTTATTACTCAGAGCTGTCTGTCCCACTTCTCTCCTAGATGCTACTGTTGGTAGAAAGGTACGTGTGTACCCGTATCTCGCCTGCTCCAGTTTGCAGCCTAGCATTCAAGTTCAAGCCCACCCCCACAGTATTACTTGCCACTGGACTGTGAACAGGAGCAGCAGAGACACACACTTGAGTTCCCTTCTTCAGGTGCAATAACATTTTTGCCACATTAATAGTGCAGAGATGTCAAACTGCCACAGCTTGAATCACCAGACTTCATCTCTCGGAGCCCTTTGCTAGCTTACAATGAAAGGAGTTGAGCTAACCTCACAGCAAATGCCAGGCAATGTGGGCATAAGGGGATAAGAGCTGCGGCTGGCTGACAAACTGGCTCAGCCACAGGAACTGGATCATGTCCAGAGAGCTTGATCCTGCCCAAATTATAAAACTGTGTGAAACACACTCATACACACACACACACAATGTAGTATTTTCATCAAGAAGCTTTCTACAAATCAACTGTTTGCATGATTACTGCTGAGTCTTGAAGATGGGATGGAAATTATGGCAAGATGTTTTTCAAAGGTAGAAAGAAGAAAAAATCAACCTCCTACAATTAGGTCTCTGTTGTGTAATTGCTGTATGAGAGAGACGGCACAGATGAGAAGTTGTTATTCCACTGTCTTCCTCCAGCATTCTGCTGCAACTCTGCCTGCTCTTTATATTTGCTCAGAAGATTTTTGGCTTCTTGCAGATCCTGAGAAGAGTTTTCCCCGTATTCTTCTTTCAGCCACTGCCTGAACTGCAGAAATTGAACATACATATAAAATATGATGAAACAATAACATGAGACTGATGCAGAAGTAATACTCCCTCCCATTCTACAGAATTTCAAGAGCCTTTAAGAACACAAGTAGTTTAAAGAAAAGCGCTCCAAAGAAAAGCATGACCTTCAATAGCAGCCCAGAATAGATAGGCACAGGAACACACATTTGAAGTCACAGAGATCCCTTATATCCCCTAAAATGACACACTGGCTTAACAGCTTGGCTGACTGGAGTAATACAGAGTAAGGAACACCCACCAGGCAAGGATGTCCTGGACTTAAAAGCACCCTCCTCCTGTTACATATACAATGAGATGAATAAGCACGGAAGCTAACGCAATCAGCCAACCTGCCCAAGTCACAACAGGCCGTAAGAAGGCTGCAGATCAGAAAGTGAACCACTCATAAGGGTTTTTCATCCTGAGCCCACAAACACCAGTAGTAAAAAATGTACTGTAAATAATCAGGAAAGGTATCTTCCAGGAAGAAAAAGACCAGGAGCTTTAAAAGCTATAGAATAGGATCCTATATGTTACTGATACAAATCACTGAATATGGTACATGGTAGCAGATGTACCAGGTCCAGCTGAAGGCCAATCCAGCTCTGTGTCTTGGTATGAGAGTAGCCAGATGCAAATGCTGAAGAAAGAATCAGGCAATGGCAGGGCAATAATGCTGGGACCTTTCCCCTGCTTATTTCCTCATCTTCCAGCAATTTTCAAGCTCAGCTTCCAAAGGCTGAGGCAGTATCTTTGTGTTTGATAGCGACAAATTAATTTTTCTGCCATGAGATCACTTTCTGAATCCACAAATTTTTACTGTGAAATATCTGGATGCCAACAAGCTCCGTGAGTACATATTGCTTTAAAACCCCTCCTTTTCCTTGTCTGGGACCTTCCAATTGATAGCTCCCTCTCACATTACAGGGAAGAGCAGAAATCACACCTGCTCTTTTTCTTTATTCCACTCAACTTTATAGACTTTTATCATATCCTTCTCTGTCATTTCTTTGCCAGTTGAAGAATCTGAGTCCACTTAATCATTCCTGACTATCTTGTTGCTCTTCTCTGCAGAAGGAGCAAGCAGACACAGACCCCAGCTGTTCTGTCCCAGTGGGGATAATATTCCTGTGATCACTTTTCAAGCCTTAACTTTCTTAGCTTTGCCTGGTTTGGGGCTAACGGACAGCTTTATCCGTAAGATCATTTACTAGGACACTGAGACACAAGACCTCAACACAGTTCCTCCCTCCCATTCCTAAAACATCATAAGGTCTCGAGTCAAACCTGAAGCCTCAGGCTACCATGTGGAAGTTTGGAATTGGTACAAACCATGTTATGATCTTAGTGACCCCTTACTGTAAGACCAAGATCAAAAGGACCCCATTCCAGAAACCCCACAGGATACCACCCTGTAGCGGTACAGCAAAACACCCAATGCTGCTGAAATCAGAAAAAAGTTCACGCCCTTGGCAGATGGCATTATTCCACTGAAATCAGGTGTGTAAACAGACACCTGCTAAGGATGTGGTTGCTGTTAAGAGACAGTAGGAAACTACAGCGCAGCCAGTGACTACAGGTGGATATTTCTTTTTGCAACCTACTGCCTCCCCCTCAGTGAAAAAAGGCAGAATATGCCGTCCATGGTGGATGAAAAAAGAGAGACGTTACTGTCTTTATCAGGCTATTTGCATATAGCCTTAATTGTCATTGCTGTTAGCCCAGACCAATTAGAGTAGAAATGACTGTAAGGGAGGAAGGAGACAAGTCTGGAAAGTCCCCCTCTGACTTTTGTCTCTTAAAAATCAGTTACTCTACCATTTACACCAGCTCCAAACGATCCAGGAAACATTCAGTTAAATATTAAAAAAACGCAAATATTTACAGTTGCAAACTGCATCATGCAAAACAAATGGTAATTTCTAAACTCTGAGCTTTCTACAGCAGAATGACAGGGATGGAATAAAAAGAAAAAAAAAAACCAAAAAACCAAACACAACATCCTTTGCCTCACATATTTTACTTTCCGATGTTGATTTGCTTCTGTTGTTGTTATTGGTTTTTAATAAGCACAATAGGCACAAAAGCTCAGAGAACAGCAACATGCTGAGCAATGGAAAACAGTGGGGACGGCCAGAGTAGGTTGCTAACATAAGTGGAAGTCACCTATCACCCACGGGGAATGGGTCTTTTGTGTGGGACGGTTCTTTAAGGGTAAGAAACTAATTTTTGTTTTATGAAAACCACTTTGCAGTCTTACTGTTCCCTCAATTCTCTTAGTCCTACAAAGCCTCAAAGGCTAAGAAGAAAAAAAGGGTCAGATTTGAGACTGTTCTACACATCAGAAAATTTATTAAGTCTCAGCCACAGAAGGGGGGGGGGGGGGGGGGGGGGGGGGGGAGGGAGGAACACGACACTTAAGTCATAATGAGAACCTAGTTTAACTCCTGGATAGCAAACATTTCTGATTACGATTTCTTCCCTGCTCACTATTCCAAATGAATGTGTTGGGGGGAAACCCACTATTTTTATGCAACTGGCACTTATAGGTTGGTCTTTCTTCTGCATTCTCAGCAACTCAGTCTTCATTTTTTACCCCTCTAAAGGTGTCAGTCTTGTATTGTGTCTTAGCACACATTAAGCAATCACTAGATGGAGAGCACAGCCAGGCAGAAGGTGTGTTTAGATGTTGGGCTTTGTCTCTTCTCCCATCTGGCATTCCCCAATTCCTTCAGTTCTATTCGCACTTCCCATGTGGAGCGGGCTTGACAAAAAAGTCACTCCCTCAATGGAAAAAACACGGAGTCAGATAAACCACCCAGGCCTCAAAATAATGAGAAGTAGCCAGTGATCTGAGACTTGGGGTTGTGTTTTGCAGCTCATTTGTCTATAGTGCATTTACCTGATCAACATCGTGTTTTTCAAAGTCCTGTAGCTGCCTCTGGAAGCCCATGTTAGGATTGGCACAGGATCTCGCTGCACGGACAACAGACAGTGCATCTTCCCAACCAAAGTCTGTGATGGTCATGATGTAGGCCACCACCAATGTTACACTCCTGGAGACACCTGCAAGGCTGCATGAAAAAGGAGGTGCAATTAATGGAGGTAGTGCTGTACTTCATCTATCACAGTTGAAATCATCACTTCGCAACATCACAGCAGACTGCTGCGTTGCTTGCCACCAGGAAGAAATATTACACTGAGTTAAAAGGTTGTGGCGCTGCTTTTTCAAATACATCAGAACAAATCTGGGACAAGATCGAGAAAGTGAGCTCTGAATTCAACAACCTGGGGACAGTGCACACCTTCTAAGATAGATTTGGTTTTTAAAAAGCTAGAAATGTCACCCACTTTATTCTGCCTGCATAGATCAGAGCAGTGAAATAAGACTGTTCCCTCTCCACCGTGAATAAAGGCTTTAATGAACTTTAACTGAACAGTTAAAGTACGTATGTCTGGGTGCTTGAGCTCTTTTCCTCTTTCTGCTATCCATGCACTGTGCAACTTCAACTCTCAAGACTCCGGTTTCCCCACGTGAAACACTGGGATAAAGTAAGAATCATTCACTCTTACTGGTTTGGCAGCACTGGACAAAACACTCACAACCATTACTACTGTGAGTATAAAGAATGTGTTCGAGTTACATTTGTGCCAGACTTTCACTTGGCATTTCGAATATTTTATGCTTTTGAAATGCTTCACAAATTTAAATGTGTTTTTTAAAACTCTACCAGAATTCAGACAAATTATTCCTGTTTTACATACATGGAGACTGACCAAATGACTTGTATGCAGCCCTATCGTGAGTCAGTAGCAAACTGAGGATTTAGGCTCAGGGACTGTGTACAAGTCCAATGTTCAAATCACAAGATGACTCTGATTCCAGATATAGACTCAGATATGCCATTTGGACATACAGCACAAAGACTACAACCGATAGCACAGAGCAAGAAAAAACCCAGGGCGGGATTTCCTCTTCTATTGTCTACAGCCCCAGAAGCATCTCTCCAATCAGAGACTTGCTATTAACAAACACAACGTTTGAATGCTTCAGCAGTTCAAAGAAAAAAAAAAAATATCAATTTCTGTTCAGAGGAATTTTTTTTTAACATTTCTAAAGTCACCAAAATAGCTGTTATAGAAAATAATCAAATTATTAGGATTATGGAAATCACCTTTAGAAATACAGTGATTAAAATAATGGGAAAAAAACAATATGTCTATAGTCAATACATCTCTAGTCAAATCAATCCTACAAAAAGGTTTGATAAGAAGAGAAAGTTAAGAAGAATTTCTTAGGGTCCTTTTATCTCCAGGCAGCTGCCCACCCCAGTGACTCAAAAGTCCTGGCACGAGGCTTTAATCTTCTGGGGCTCGTCAAATAAAGGGGACATTTCAGTCCAAGAAGATTTTGCTATAAAATGGAAATGAACATTAACTTATCATTAAAATGATAAACATCCAAGCAAGGTAGAGAAACCCCCGTGAAGTTGTGGGTTTTTTGGCAAGTGATATACATACCAGTGAACTAGGCAGCCTTCACCTGTAAGCCGGCACTCATGGATAAATTTGATGCTCTCTCTGAAATGCCTTGCCCTGAAAACAGAAGCAGAAAGGGAATAAAGAAAGTGCTCTATTTAGTAAAATCACTACTTCGAAAAAGAGAAATGTACCTGAAAGCTCATTTATTGCTGTTTCTAGAATTTAGAACTGAATACAGGTCATACAAAGTAAAAGTTAGGGTCTGCCAATGAAATACAATACTCACTGACATAGTTATTCTCCACTCTACCTGAAGAAGAAACTGGTATCTTAGGTACTACAATGTGATAAACATTAACAAATGCTTTACTCTGATGACTGTCAAGTCTGTATTTCAGTTTGTGTTTTATTCCTCTTTAAACTAGTAACTTGATCTTGCATGTTCTTACATATGCTCAGACATCAGATGCAACTCAGCACAGCTACGTGAACAGTTCTCAAGGCATACTGCCTCTCAAAGAGACATCCACTACTCACTACCCAAACTTAAGCTTAACTTTGACTTCACCTCCTCCTTCAAACAGGTACTAAGACACAACTAAATGTTATGACTTTCTTCTTTGCAACATGAAGTCTTTCCTTTTTGACCCTGCTATGAAAAAAGTCTCAGTTCAAGCTCTGGCTTCTTCAGCTCCTTCCAGTGTCCTCCCCTCAGAGTGCAGGACCCCTTCTGGCTGCCCTTATTCAGGGTGTCAGCTAACCCCCTGCCTACAGCCTACCTTCTTTATAGCAGCGTAGGAGAAAATGTGGAGAAGATAAAGACTTAGTTTACAAACCTTAAGGTTTGTACTCTCGTTATCCTTTACACACGCCTCTTCATTGTAAGCGAGGCAAGTCTGAAGGAAAGTAACTGGGCAGCTGTGATCATCTCAGCAAGTCTGCAGCATTGCTCTTTACATCCCAGCTCATCCTGCCTCTGCCTTTCAGACTGTGAAGCCTTTGGGGCTGACTGCAATTTATCGCAGGTGCAAGCAGCACCTCTCCGTTCAACGCAGCTGGAGTTCACTGTGGCCTTTGAGCACTCCCGCAATTAAAGCTCACAAGCAGTAGCAATGTGTGCAACACCGACAGAGGAGAGAGCTTCTTAAGGGGCAGTCAGCACCAGGCTTACTGGCAAAGACAAACCTGAAAGCACACTGCGCTCAACACCCATGAAACACAACGTCCTGTATTCAAGATGTTTCCCCTCTCAGGGTGAATATTATACCACAAGTGTAAAAGAAAAAAACCTCAGCCCAGCACCAGCAGCCACACAAAAATCAGGAATACCCACATAAAAGGAAGCTTTCCTTCCTGCCTAACAGTGCAGCTGCTGATACTATAAACACTCAGACCCAGAGGAGGACAACAGTGATGCAACAGAGTGGCAGTGCCAATGGAACTTGCAAAGGCAATGATGTCTAAGCTGAAATACCCAAAAAGAGGAATCCCAAAGCCCAGGACTCCCTCTCCAAGGCAGTTCTTGCATCGCTGGACACAACATGGAGAATACAACTGGAGAAGAGTTTGCTGACTTATTTGGAACATCCCAAGGCCCAATGCAGCCCCAAGCTCTAGGGCAGCATGTCAGCTCAGGATTTTATGTTTCTCAAGAAACTGATCACGTATGTGGCATGAGTGAAGAAGAGGGAGAAGCGTCAGAAATGCACTTCTACTCAGACTGGCTCTCCAAAACATTTTCACTGGCTGAGTTTTAACAAATCACGGTGGTCAGGTCTGCCTGGGGGGCAAGAGCAGCTTCACATAAAGGAGCCCAGAGGACAAATAAGACATTGGGCTCTGTGTGCAAGAGGTGTTCCTATTGCACACTGAAGGAGTCCTTCTCTGAGACTAATGGATTCAGTCAAAGGAAACTTGTTTAGGGCTGGATTGACAACATCCCAATCTTCTCATACACCCATCTTCTCTCTTTCTCTAGAAAACAGTGCAGCTCCAAGCACCAGTGAATTCACTTCAATTCTAGCACAAGTTTTGGTTAAACACTTCAATGCTTTGGTTTAAAAAATATCTGCAAATGAGCATAACACCTTTGCAAGGTACTAAATATAGCTAGCAGTGAACTCCATTCACTCAGTTTTATTCAACCTTCCTTATTGCTGACACTCGGTCTGCTGAAACACTGTCAAGTGTAAATGTTTACAGGCATTCATGAAAACGAGAAGAGAAATAGCCAAGTCTAGAATTAGCGCTGCTCTATGGAACTATAGCCCCTCCTCACCCCGAGTCAGAGAAAAGGAGAAATGTACTACTCCTCTGCACCCCTATGGTATCAGGGTCTCTCATGAAAACTAAGATTGAGGACCAGTTAGCTGTGTAGCAAGGGCCAGACACAAAGAAGAATGGCAAGTCTTACATTAACCACAAAACAGTTGATTATCATCTGTAACAGGAAAGCACTTGACAAATGTGTTGATTTGCAGCCTATTTGTTGGACTGAACAGTTACTTCAAGACAATTTATTACATGCTATCTGGCTTTTACATCTCCTAGCTTAAAGCTGGGTCCTGAACTGCATCATCTTCACAGTGGGAAAACACCACAGGAAGAACCACTAGTACACTGCCCCTACCAGCATGTTGTAAAAGTTATCTAAACTTAGGCATTAGCAAGCTGGATAATCCAAAATTAGGCCAAGGGCAGAGTTATGATACCAGATGTACATACTCATTCATTGCTAGTCAGACTTCTATGAATATTATAAAGGCTAAAAAGAAAGCATTCCAAATCAGATAGGAAGAACCATCTTGATGTCTCTTTCTTTCGGCATTGTAAATGCAACAAAGACCCCCCTAGATTTCTTTTCTTAGTAGGTTATCTAGCTTCTGTATTAACACCATTAACAGCCTGACCATTGGAGGTTAGTTCCTTAGAAACACGTTGCCTAAGACAATTAGCTGGAACAGGACAGGAAAGGAAGATCTGATTTTTATAGCATTACCTTTTTAGCAACAGGTTCTATATGAGATGACATTTCTGGAGAAGTCAATGGCCTACGGTAAAATTCTCACAGTCCAGGGAAAACACTCATTTAACGGCGAGGAAGCACCTCGAGTCTCAAAAGCAACTGCTCGATTCCTATGCTTGGTAGGGGCAGAGCATGGGAGCAGAAGCAAGCTTTTGAGCCACCTAAGTGAACACCCACATGTTAACAGGGGAATCCCTGCTGTATTTCCCTGGCAATTCATTCCTCTGGAAGGCAGCTCCACTAAACAAGCTTACTAGGAGTAAACGTGCATTACACGCACAAGAAACCAAAGCTTCCCCTCACAAAAACTGAGCTGAAGAAGCGAATTAAGAGCTCACAGTCCCAAAATTCAGTGGGTAAAGGCTTTCACAGTTGGACCATATTAACCTGCCAGCAGTTGCAAAGTAGCAGCGAAGCTTCTAACAATCTTGCTATTGGGAGAGACAGACAAGACAGCAGTGTGTACCTGGTCAGTTGCGCCTGTCAACCATTGCTAAGAAAGCACAAGGACCTGCAATACAGAATGCTGCTTTTTTTTAATCCTGACACCACCAGAATCCCTCTTTTGGAAGAAGAGGGTAGATAGACAAAGATGTTGAAGAAGGACCAATTCCCTTTCCTGTTCCCCAGCTATCCCCCTGCACTTCTATATAGCATTGTGTCAAATCCTCACAGACTGAACAAAGACAGCTTCCTCTTGCTTTCAGAAGATTGTATGTGCAAAGCAAGCAACATTGCTACCAACAAGCATCATGGTTTGGGTTTACTTGAAGATCTAGACTGTATAAAGCAAAAAAGAAAAATCGGTTACTCATCAAGTTTTATTTTAAGTGATAAAATGTATCAGTATTAGAAGTAATGACGTTTGCTGGCAACCACCTGATACCAAAGCAAGTATTTTAGATGCCTGCAGCATAACAGAAACAATACTCATGCAAATATTGTATCTTCTTATTGACGCTTTAAGAGCTTTGGTACTGTGCCAGACAGCTCAAGCAACGGAGGTGGTTTTTCAATATAACTCCTTGACACTTAATGGGGAGGGAGGGGCTGAATTGTACATTGATTAATGTTCATCCCAAACTCCTTCCTTTATTTCCATTCCCAATTGGTCCAGACCTCTATTAACAAAGGAAGCAAATTTGCAAAATGTTTTCAGAAATGCTACAGATCTCAGAATACCAACAAACAATTAATATGACAACATGTGAATGTTTCCCTCTAATTTTTCCTTCCCAAAAGGATTTTTTTTTTTTTACATTTACTTATTTTTATTTATTTTAAGTATTAAGGCCACAAAAGTTGCCCATGACAAAGGCAATTAGCTGTCTGCTTTCTCATTACAGACCTGTCTTGAAATTTAGGGTTTTGGGGTGTTGTTTGTTGTGGGTTGGGGGGGGTGGTAGGGCTTTTTTTCCCCGTTCTCCTAAAATCACGACAGAAATACAGAATGAAAAAGGCAAATCACCACACATCAAGTGCCACGCTGGAATCTTTCTAGGGTACGAGAAACACATACTCTAAAAATATACCCCGAAAGCATGACCCGGAATATTGCTGTGATGTGAGAGAAAAGCAGTGCTACATTTCCTTCCGTAGCTAGCAGGCCTCTTTCAACTACTTGTTTCTCTACAAAACTTGGTAGCAGGATGTGGCTGAAACCCCCCTCCCCTCTCCCCAACATAAACAGTGAGCTCGAGAAGAAAGAGTTGGTCACCATCCAAGTTCTCTTACAAAACCTGTTTTGATTTCTCTTTGGAATCAAGGCTTGCTACGCTTAATGGTTCAAAACATTAAAACCAAAGGCAAGTCAATTAGCATTTCATGAACATTAGCAGAGATGAGAAAGAGCGAGGCTGGGACACCCCAGTTTCAGTACATATATCCTCAAGGCAAGAGTCACCGCAGGGCAGAAACTCCCCGCCATGCCAGCCTACTGCTAAGAGCAGCAGGGCCTTCTGAGGCAGGTTCAAGAAGTCCAGAGGAGATAGTTGCATGGGTAGTTTGCACACTGGGACTTTATCTTGAAGGCCCACTGTGAGGAATTTATTTCAACCCTTGAAGCACCAGGCTTCATACCTCCTTCAACTGTTTCCTTTTTGTTAATGGCTGGAGATAATGCTAACAAAAAAGAACAGCCAAGCAAAAAGATTTACAAAAAACAATGGCTAGAATAAACTGGGGCCAAATTAGGGCCAAATTAGGACCAGACTCACTAAGGAATTCCTGAAGTTTAATGCCACAAATGAAGAGTGTTTACATAGACTCTCCTACAAACCCTTACACACAAAAAACAGAGTCTGAACCAAAGTGGCTGGAATAAAGTGTTACTGTGTTTTCCTAATGGATTAAAAACCACATCTGTGTAATACTTGTGAGAGATCAGAATCAGATCTTTCAGCTTATTGTAAAACAGGCATCATGGTACTGATGGATTTCTGGGGTTTTGCAATTTATTTTTAAAGAAAACTTACAAGTTCTGCGAGGGTGAGTCAGCAGCAGG